TTTTGGCTGTGAAATTTAAGCATGTTAAATATGTTTACCTCTTTCTATAATGAATAAATCATTCTGACTTGTTCTGGCTCACTATGCATGAAGTGTTCAGGTAACAGTTCACCATCTTGTGGCTACATGCAAAATACTGCTTTGAATGCTTGAGGAAAGTAATGATTTTGCTGTCACAGCACGCCTAGAAATACAAAGTTATTTGGCCACTTTGGGAAGCAAAGAGCTAGGTACTGGACTGGGACAGCAGCTATGGAGAGCTCACAGTCATTTCCAACACAGCAATATGATCTAGGATGTTTCCTTCTGCTACTGAAACAAAAGCATATGTCTGTGAAAAAAAAATCTTATTCTCCTCTCAAGCGGAATCCAAAGCTTTTATCTTTTCCTTGTGATTCTATTTCTCCAGTATTAGGCTAAGAATAAAAGTTGACAATCTTGCTAGAGTTAATCCTTTAGAGCAGATCTGCAACCATATATTGGGAAATGTGTACAGAGTACCAGAGCAATAAGCATTTGCTTGAAGATCCTGGATAACGGCTACTGAAGAAACATGAGTAAAAACAATTCTTTAATTCCTGAAGAAACAGATAAAGGGACATAAGATTTATGCCCAGAATTAAAGAAAATCATCACACACAGCAGCAACACTAAGCAGTTTACTGAATGTATTTTGCTGAAGCTATGATGTAATCAAGGAGTTGGTTTTATTAGTATGTCCTTTTGTATGAATCTGAGAAACTATAACCAGTCAATAAAGTACTAATGCTTGAATCCCTACACACCTTATAAAAATGCCTTTAGGTTCTTGTGTGTAACTAAAACTGAAGCCACTTCCAACAAAGGCATAATTTGTGATTTATCATGTGATTTGGATCTGAAAAAAATCCAGGTCACATAACACAATGCTTGTACCTGGGACGATTAGGGCTGTTTCTAACTAATTTAGCTATCTGTGTAGAAGCAAGCTGCATTTACAGTTCACCAACTCAGAAAATCATTAGGTTGATTAAAGTGTTTGTTCTTGAGGAAGACATACAAAACCTCCAACATCCGCTGCTATTGAAAAGCAGCTGGGACCAAGAAAATAAGATCGTGCCTTTTCCTTTTATTTGCTGGTGGCTCGTCCTTTTTGGATCATTCATTTATATCTGGCCTGTTGCTGAACCTGTCTCTTTAACTAGGTTCTGGACATGCTGAGAAGTAAAGCTGTGTGTTTGTGGCACAGGTCCAATGCTGAAGGAACAATAAATCGGTGAGAAAGCAGAACTGCTGGATTCACACCAAATTATTCAATAGTTCTGTAGACTTTTTAAATTTAATTTGCATGTTGTTGAGATATTATCGTCTTTAATGACTTTCTGAGAAGTCCATGTAGCACTAGGTAGACTTTGGGTAACATCAGTGTATCTTCAGCTTACAAAGTGTTAATTTTTACAAGAATTGCTATAGGTAGCAATTCTTCCACAATTTGCCAGCATCCTTCTTACCAAGTTTCCATGCGTCTGCCACTGCAATGATATTTTAAACACTGAAAATAACTACAGCTCTCCGTCTGAGTTCACCGAGTACCTTTCCACTCTCATCAATTCCATAAATCTTTCTTTCAGCTGCTACTGTATGCCTTGATCTCACTTCAGAAGTTTCTTTGCTATCATCTGCCTGCAGGAAACATTGTGTGGAGGTTCTGTGAATTGTATCAGACAGGTAAAAGCTGGCACTTGAATAATTTATGTCAGCAGCACATTTTCAGTAAGCAACTTGGCCATCAGCAGCAGAATAGCATCTTAACAAAGATCTAGGTAATATGGAAGAAGTCTGAAGAAATCATTTTGATTACTTGTCAGTGCCACACAAAACACAGAGATGTTAACACTGATGCCAGTAGCTAACCCATACTAATATCAGTTCCTTATCATATGTATTGCATTTAATGCTACTTTTCCCCATTTCTGTAAAATTATTTGCAAGTAACTGATTGACTTTTTATTGTCAACAGCAAAAGTTGCTAGGCTGACATTTGAATTAAAAGATGAAGAAACACAAAGAGGAAAATGAGACTGCTAGTTGACAGAACAGCCATTGATCAGTGACAGTGGAATATATTGTTCCATCAAGAGGGCCTCTCTGATGAAGCATCATGAAAATGTAACTTGACTACCTTTCCCTGACTTCCAAATGCAATATCGTATGTGCAAACAACAACTGAAAATCTACTGACTACTAGTCCTACAAAAATGAAGCTTCATACTGTTGGGTCAGAGCTTACTCACAGCTGAAAAGCTTACAGTGTATGAAAAATGAATGCAGTGCTGTCAGTGGAGAAGATTGCAAACATACCTGCAAACTAACACTAAAAACTGTAAGACCTTATCTAGAATTTACTTTTTTTTATTTCCAAGGTAAGGAAGACAAACTGTTGAGTGTTAGCCACTACTTGGCTATGCCTTATAGGATACTGTCTCCCACTGTAAATGTGGGGTTCATAATCACTTCTAGAGCACATATAAAAGATATTTCTCTTTGATATGCTGTTCAAAGTGAAAACCCTGTTTCCAAAATTAGAAGTTCTAATGGGGAAAAAGAATACTTACAAGGGAGTGAAGACAGAAGAAAAGATAGTAGTGTGCTATCTTTGGAATGAATATGATCTGATGTGATGATAATAGGAGATTGATTATATTTCTCATTTTGGAAGAGCTACTGTGCATTCCTACTGTTACAACAACAGCACCAATTATGTATACACTTCCTTTTAACAATATTTTTCAAAGCACTTTAGAAAGGATGTTAGGATCATTATCCTGACTTGACTGATAAGAAAATCAAGAAACAGACCACTGAAAAAATAACTAACTGAATGTCACCTGGCAGACAAGTGGAAACACTAATTTTCAAGTTTCAGTCCCGTACTATTTTGGCAAGACCACAGTGATGCGTTCAAACGCCACCATCCAACCAGGTGAGTGTTCACAGAATTTATAAAGGCATTGATTGTGCTTTTCTGACAAGCTGGCTTGTAAGTACCTGCTAAATATTACAGCAAGGAGCCATTAGTGACTATTAAAAGGCTCTCCTTTAGCAAAGCCATCCAGTTGTTAATGGCTGGCAGGAGTTCAAAATTCCAGTTTAAAACAGTCTGTCTCTTTTAGATGCCCTTGCAGTCTTGGCCTTTCCCAGCTGTGACATTTATGATAGGAATAGAAGGATAGGCAGTGATACTTTTCTGATGTCTGGTGTAGCCATTCCCCTATGCTTTCACAACACAAGGAAATTCAACATGTAAAACTTCAATATTTCCCCCTGTCTGTTACCTCTTTAGCCATTTGGTGGTACTACTTCTTTAGAAGAAATAGTTTTGAGAAAGGACAACCCAAGTAAAATTTTCTGTTGAGAGAAGAAAACATTCACGAGCTTTATCGGACATGGCATTAGTTGCAAAAAACTTTGGCTTTCTCAGAATTACAACAAACAGCAAGTTATTGAACCTAAAGATCTGTGTGCCAGGTAGGACCTGCAGAAGGGAGTATGTTCTTTGCCCTCTCACCACCTCCACTTGCCTTCTCCATTAAAGACTCCTGGCTGCTTGTCCCAGAAGGCAGCTGCTCTATTGCTAATCTAACTCAAAGTTACACCTGCTACAGAAATTTTCAACCAGGCCACAGCTGCCAGATTCTGGTCTCTTCGTACAACTCAGGCAGCAGAAAGAATTATAATCAGCGCTGAGAATCTGCCCCAAAATGTACAATGCAATACGTTGTAGTACATCATCCAACATTTAATACATAAATGTATCATTGTCTGAATGCATGCAGTATCTCCACCAAAGAACCATTTCCCATTTCAGATTTGTACTATCGGGCCACTTATTTCTTTTTTTTTGGTAATAGTTCAATGGTATTTTGCTCAAAAAGTTGCAAGAACACTTAAGAGTGTTACTCAGAACAAGTTTTATTTTTGGCATAGGGGTGACCCTACCTTTGAATTCAACACATGCAATTTATATTTGTAATTATAAATTACATTTTGAAACATTGATCAAATAAGACAACACTGCTGTGTGTAAATGATACACACGCAAACACACACATAGTATTTATAGGGTTAGATATTCGCAAAATATGTTTGGAAGGCCAAACCCTGTTACTTTTTACTGACCTAAACTCCCACTGAAGTCCTTAATACATGACTTCTACAGCTAAGTTTTTATGATTTCCCCTTCTGGATGACAACGGTAACACTGATGTTCTGCACTACTTGCTATCTCTGCTTTTATCTGAACGTCTACTACAAAAATTCATGTTCTACTGGATTGTTTACTAGAGCATTATGAAAGATGAAAATCCATTTGTTTGGCTTTTTTATGCATGTTTGCCTTCAAAGTATCTTTCTATTGCAGCAAATAATAATGCTCACTGACACTCTGCACCATCCCCTCCATCCTTTATTACAGGAAAAGTGGACTTCATTATCTCTGCTAGTGGCATAAAAATCTTGAGGACATTCTGTGATCTCCTACCCAACTATAAGCAGTCACAACAAAAGAGAATCATGATGACCTAGTTTTTCTTTAGCAAAGGAAAGCCATCTATACAAGAATAAAAAATGTTCATTTATTTTGCTTGAGCACTGGTTTCCTGATTCCTGTTTTTTTCCCAGCCCACTGAATGTTCAATTCCCATTGTACAATACACTCAAAATACAGGAAGGATATGATCAGTGGGCTTGATTTCAAAGATGCGGAACAACCGTTGAACTAGATCTGACTGAGTTTAAATGGCCCCAGGGCATTTCATCGCCTTGGGATGGATTTACAGATCCAACCATTTAAGCACAAAGATATAACTTCGAATGTATAAAACCATCTCACAAGTCCTTGCCTGTTAAAAGATTCAGAGCCATACACGATATTTCTACAGCTGCTTAAAATGCCAGAAACACATTCATTTCAACTAACCTTGTTTTAAAATCAAACAGTTTTGCAGTCCTTCATTACTAACCTGGCTGTTAAAGTCGGAGAAATGACAACAGAGGTAAAAATCTCCACCATAGCCATTTTACAAAGATCTGCTGCAGATCCTATGAAAGAAAGTGATCTGCTTTTAATTTAAAGCATGCAAAAGGAAAATGTTCTTCTTGGAACTATGGCATAGGAATGAAAAACATCTGAAAACTCTGAATTATAAGAATTTGCAAAACTAGCAGATTCAGTTCATGTATTATGTGAAACAGATTGTAAGATTAATAAATAACATACTAAATAATTACATGTTAATTAAAAACAGAAAATAATAATATGAAATTATGTGTTAATTAAAAGTCAATTTGTCAGTCATGGCCATGAGTTGAAAAATTGCTTTTAATAAAAAATGTCTGAAATTATCTAACCCTAAATTGGAATTAAAATTTACCTATAAATTAATTAAAATGTAATGTCACAAAAGGTTAGAACATTTCCATTTGGAAATTTAATTTTATGCGTTTTCATATTTCCATGTGTATGTAATGTATATTCATTACATTACAGTGTTAAGAGCAGTGGTGCGTAAAACAGCGTCATGTTACATAATAGATTACGCATTTCTGGTGATCAAGAGGCAGAATGATTCTCCAGGCCTGCCGTTTGGTGAAGGGGTTTGTTCTGAACCATGCAACAGGGGTTTAATACATTTTACATAAAGATTTATCAGGTAAAATACAGAAACAATCCTTTAAGTAGGGACTGGAAGTCATAATTCTCCTTGTCCCATCAGATATCCTAAATGTACTAGACCGTGGATATCTTTCTTTTCACACCCCCTAACTCAATGAATTTTGAACTCTTTCTTCCAAATGGTTCAACTTCCAGAGTAGGGATAAAGAACAGCCAGGCAGGCAAATGGTAAGGGTACTCTGCTGGGAGATAATCATAGAATCATAGATTCACAGAATATCTCAAGTTGGAAGGGACCCATAAGGATCATCAAGTCCAACTCCTGGCTCCTCGCAGGACTACCTAAAACTAAACCATATGACTAAAAGCGTCATCCAGACGGTCCTTGGACTCTGACAGGCTTGGTGTCACTTCCCTGGGGAGCCTGTTCCAGTGACCAACCACCCTCTCAGTGAAGAACCTTTTCCTAATGTCCAATCTGAACTTGCCTTAACGCAGCTTCATTCCATTTCCTTGTGTTCTATCGCTGACCACCAGAGAGAGACCAGAACCTCCCCTCTGCTGCTCCCCTTGAGGAAGTTGCAGACTGCGATGAGGTCACCCCTCAGCCTTCTCTTCTCCAAGCTGAAGAAACCAAGTGACCTCAGCTGCTCCTCCTAAGTCTTGCCCTCAAGACCTTTCACCATCTTGGTCGCCCTCCTCTGGACGCACTCTAATAGTTTGATGTCCTTCTTATATTGAGGTGTCCAAAACTGCACACAGTACTTGAGGTGGGGCTGCACCAGTGCAGTGTTGAGTGGGACAATCACCTCCCTTGACCAGCTAGCTTAACGCACCCCAGGACACGGTTGACCCTTTTCGCTAAGAGAGAATATCTAAGAGATTGAGGAAATAGACTTAACACCTCTTCTTTCTTCATGGTTTTCTATGACAAACTGCCTCCTCTGAATCCCATACTGAGACTCTGTTTTACTCGCTAGCTATATCAAGTGTGGATCCACAGCTGATTATTGAGATGGCTATGTCTAATTGCGAATTTAGCCTCAAATACCTATCTTGTTTTTCAAAGGATGTGTCAAACTGATTCAATACAACATAAAAAGGGACACATTGATATAAAAAGTAGGAAAGGACGTTTCAGCAAATGGCAGGTAAATATCTTCTTAGTGATTGTGAGAATGAAATTATATAATTGAGCATTTAGTCCATCACAATACATATGTTCTATATGTATTCTTCATGAAACAATGTAAAGTAATAAAATACAAAAGAATTCTCAAATTTTTTTTTTCTGAGATATGATTTTTAGAGATATGTTATTTTAAATATTTTCACAGAAAATAACTATATCCTTCTGGTTGTTTTTGCCACAATTATAAATAAATAATAAAAAATAAAATTAATGGTTTCCTCTATGCGGTTAGGTAGAGCTGAGTTATAACTGAAGAATATTAGGCTGTACATTGGTAAAGACTATTGAACTGGGAAATATTCAAAAAGAGAAAGAACACTATGAAAGAACTGTGGGAAATCCAGTTGTAGTAAGTTAAAGCTGGAACTCTACATTCCTCTCAATATTGTCATGCACCAGAAGAAGTCTTCTGCTATCAGTTGCTGCTACCATAACCAAAATGCAAACTGCTTGAATGAATCAGACTACTAGATATAATTATAAAACACGTATATTAAATGCAGTTTAGTATGCTAACTATGGTAAAATGTTTTAGCATAATTGAAAAGCTTTTACAGTCTTAAAATATTATCTCACAGCTGAAATCCTGAAATTAAAAAATTGTCATAGTCTAGAATGATATTTTTTAAAATATTTAGGAATACTGAATATTTTAGAGCTTTTAATTCTTGCTTCATCACACCTTCTAATATTACATTTTGAATATCAGTTACACTATTTTTCATCAGATTTGTCCTCCAGTATTATTTGAACCGTCAATGAAATATGATAATCTTATTATTGTAGGTACTATAAGTGAGTGTTTTGTAGCCAGTCCTGTGGTGGCTTTGCCTCAGCTCCAAGCTCTTTGGACAGATGGACATAAGCAAGTGCTGCTCAGAAGGCCGTGTAGCTTTATTAATGCTACACTGTACACTCAGCAGGACTCGCTGTATTAGCTCAAGCATTGTGCCTTCAACTGGAGAGGGCTGATGGCCAGCTGGATGGAAACCCAGGTAAACTGAACACAAGTCTCTGGAGAAGGTTGTACAGGCATGCCCAGCGTTACAAACGTGCAAGCTTTGCTGCAGATTTTATAAGGATATTTTAAAATTCTACAGTTGGGTGCCTACTACAGCAAGGCAGCCATCACTTGAGCACAACTATTATTCAAGCAACAGCGTATGTATTAGAATTCTAGATCTGCCATATCCTTGCAGAGACAGTACTTAAATTCAGTTACTAATTATAAGGAGTGTCAAACATGACATAAATACTTAAGTAATTTTTAAAATGAAACATTCAAATGAATAATATTTGGAGAGGAAAAAAAAAACCCCACGATCCTTTCAAAAGGAAAATTCAAATCACTTTATAGAAAGCACACCATCACTGTGTCTAGAAAGCACTTTTTCCTTGCCTGTAAATTGTACGCTTCCAATATAACTTAGTGAAAACCCTGTCAGCATCATCCAATTAAAAAAAAATTGTTCCAAGGGGTAGCTTGGTAGGAAGGATCTTAGTCTTGGACTGCTAGCTCAGTTGTTTTTTTTTCTTTAGGTGGCTAAATTCTGTACAGGACTGAGCCCCAAGTGATTTAAACAGACTATGTTAATGCATCAGATTAACATTTGAGCACTTTATGCTGATTTTTACATTTCCAACATATATGACAAATTTGCAATATTTTTCTGTGACAAAACACCTTTTTTCTTGCCCTTCACAGAATTAAGTTTGAATGTTCCTTACAAAGAATGAGTTGGGTTTCAAAACAAATAATAATAATGCATGATTCTTGTAATGTTGTATATTTCTTAAACTAAAGATATCTGGCAAAATAAAAGCTAGAATCTGTAAGCAGCATAATCACAGAAACCCTTTGGAAAAACAAACTATCAAAAGCAGAAAGGATAATGTTTTAAGACAACAATACATCTGAAGCACTGACTTCTAGATATTCTCTCTGTACATAGTTTGTATCTATACCTATATTTAACTGCCACAGAGCACTATAGTGCATTAGAACATTGAAACTGTTATTACTATTATTATGATACTGTTTAGTGGCAATTTCCAAGGTAGATAGAATACATCATTTAAATTTCTCTTTTATATGAGTTTATAAAACTCATGCCTCAGTAGTCTACTCTAGTAGACTACTAGAATATTAATTCTTTTGAGATTATCAGAGTAGTTGTCCACTAAAGCCAAGCACAGATAAAAAGATAGGTAGGTAAGTAGGAAGGTAGGCAGGCAGTTTTTTACCTTGAACAACAAAATTGACAGCCTGCCTCTCTGCTTGAGTGCGTAGTTTGTAATCCTGTGCATTGATATTAGCCAGTGGTCTTTTACGTCCCATTATGGAAACCACATAACCTTGTAGGATTTAAATAGAAATTAGTATTCTTAGAGTGATTAAAATTAAATTTCAAAAATTCTTTTTGAAGATAATATAGATTTTTGTAATTATGTGCTGCCTGAGTCAATTTAATATCTTGCCCTCTGACAATAGTCAGATCTTCTTTTATTTAAACCTTAAATGCTTATTGTATTTTTGGTCTAAGAATTATTTCATTCAGAGAATTGGTACATGTTATACAAGGAAAACTTCTGTTCATTAAAACTGTATTTTCATTACGAATGTCTACTCATATACCAGCAAACTCTCTCTGTGGGAGATGAAACTATAAATACCTAGCAGAATTAGCTATCTATTAGCAGCCATAATTAGAGCTTTCCACGCAATGAATAGTTTACTTGGGAATAGCAAAGAAAAATCAATTTGTGGAGTAATTAAATTATTAATGCATGTTTCCCAAAATTATAAAATAGTTTTGGGGGAAAAAAAACAGTTATAACTTTTTTTCCATTTTCTTTATTTGGTATTTTCGTGTGTGTCCCTTCACAGCCAATCTTCCTTAACTCTAGTGTGGTGGGGTTTTAATTTAAAAGAAACACATGAAAACACAGTAAAAGCTATATATTAGGCCTAATGACGTATTTTGCCAAAACAATTATTTTGGAGGGCAAGTGAGAGGAGTTGGGAGGGAAAAAGAGATGTGAGGATCCTCTTGTCAAAATAACACACACAAAACATTTTCTCAGCTTCAAAACTAAACTTCTTTTCTTATTTTAAGAAAAATGAAAAATCATCCATGTTAAAAATATACCTTTGCATAATCTTTCGTTATACTTCTGATCACTTTGACTATCCACGAATTGTCATTAGATAGCATGGAAGTTCAGACTGCCACAGAGTTTCAATTCATCTCCTCTTTGGCAACCAAGATTTGCTAGCACATGTGGTGCTAGAAGGACACCTCTTCAAACACAAATTTATGACCTTGCTATGGACAACACATATCTAGACTTATGTGTGGAGGATGAAGATGGTTCTGCTGAATTAATAGAGCTTTCTGCAAATTAGTGTATTTCCAGGAGCGCTGCTACCAAATGTACCAGTTTTGGAACAAGGAGCTGAATTATCTGGAGGTTAGGATATTCTTTGGCATATCAGTCTTCCCAATTTAACTAAGATTTTCCATGAAGAACAGTATCTAAAGATGGAATTCTTGAAACATTGGATTCTCAGGGAAAAATAGATTTACTGTAATATCCTTATTCCTGTGTGGTGTGTCTCCACAACAGAATCACCCTTGCAATAGTCTTAGCTGATTAGCATCGCCAAACAAATACCATCTTTCATATAATAGTGGCAGAGTATGCTTCCGTGGTCAAAGATTAATCTGCAAATACATATTTGAATGGGGTCTCAATGTAGTCTTCTTAATATGTTGATAATTTCATCAAAAAACAACAGCATAATAACACATATACTAATACACTAACAAAAATATCTTCATCACAAATTAATATTATTTATATGCTTACCATGTCTACACGGAGTATCAGACATTCATAACACCTAAATAATATTAGTCAGGTGGGTGCTGTTCACCTTTGAACTGCAGAAAAGTAAAGTTACCTTATAATGAGCTCACTAGGTTGGAATGTTTTTGTTGGAAAGTTGGAATCTGAGGTGGATTAATAAGAAAAATATTAAATAATGTTGACGTGCTGCAGATTTTTTTGAGCTTGTACAACTGAAACAGATTATTCTTTGACCATTAATGATTAAAACAATGGTTGATAGATGGGAGTGAGAGGAGGAGTAAGTACTAATTAGACAAGGGTGTTCTGATGACAATCAAGGACATTAGTTATGACACTTGTCTACAAAACTCACAGACCTGATTCTTTATCATAGAAGTCTGGTTACTGAAATTCATAGAATCATAGAATCATTTAGGTTGGAAAAGACCTTTAAGATCATTGAGTCCAACTGTTAACCTAGCACTGCCAAGTCCACCATTAAACCATGTCCCTAAGCACCACGTCTACATGTCTTTTAAATCCCTCCAGGGATGGGGACTCAATCCCCTCCCTGGGCAGCCTGGTCCAATGC